ACACCTCCTCATTTGATTCAGCTGCTGGAAACACTGGTGGCCAAGAGGACACAACAATCCAAGTCAGTTATTTCCATTGTAGGCTTCACATTTATTTTATTTTTTTTGCTTCCTAAGGAGCTAAGCTTTTGAACAGTTATTGAATAGATAATAATAGCCCTTAGCAACAGCACTTAGTCTTATATACCATTTCACCATGCTCTCTAAATGGTTTACAGAGTCAGCCTATTGCCCTCTACGATTTGGGTCCTCATTTTACCGACCTTGAAAGGATGGAAGGCTAAGTCAACCTTGAGCCAATCAGGATCGAACTCCTGACAGTGAGCAGACTTAGCCTGCAATACTGCATTCTAACCACTGGGCCATAATCAGTACAATTCCACTGATGGCAGTGAAATGTTCTACTCTATGCAGTGGTGACCTCCAGTATCAATGGAGGTTATACCAAGATATTAGTTAGGATTAAAATAAACCAGATGAAATATCTTCAAAGCTCCACCCAATGAAGGCATTGATTTGTTCCTACCCAATCCAGGCAATCTGAGAAGGAATAACCATTCCAATCTTCTTTTTTTCTTTGCAATGTAAGGGTTAAAGAAAGGGTTAGAAGAGAAACCACACCCAGATCCAATTAGCAAGAGGTATGAACTGTATAGAAAATACACTTTTGTTTGGTTATGAAGAAACATCCCCAAAGTCAGATGCAGACTAACTTTTAGCTACACACCTTCCTAGCAAACAGCAAATTTTGAAGCTCCAGGTAAAGAGGATTCATTTTAGGATGAGTAACCACAGTTTACATGCTGGAGGCTCCTAAAGGAATGCTGGGAAATTCTGTATTTTAAAGAACATTTGAGGGAGGGGTGCAGAAATGCCTTTCTCTGCCTGAGGCTGTAGAGACCCAGCACAATCAAAACAAACACTATTTGTGAAGCAACACTGACAGGGTAAGCCACTAGTATATAAAAATAAGAGCAAACCCCACTCCCTTCTAATATCATACTGATGATGTTACCTAGCTTGGTAATGAAATGTCTGCAAGAAAACCATCAAGCTCAGAAAGCACCAAGGATCCCATATTTCAACCCTGAGCTACAAATATTCTCTTCTATCAATAAGCACTTTTTGGTTAGAGGGACTCAAAGCCTGCCTTATATGAGATGGCTTCCAGTGGATTTCATTCTAACTTTTGATATGTTTTCTGTAAATAAGGAATGTAGAATTATAATGGCTGAGTCTTTGATCCTTCATACATAAAAAAAAAAAATGCAAAGTTAAGAATAAACAAATAAAAAAGATTTGAAAAAGAAAAAGCTCAGGAAAGAAATAGAGTGAAAGTGCAAGAAAGAAAAAGGAAAAGAAGGAAAACAGAAAAAGAATGATTTCCAGCTTGCTTTGGTACAGATATAAGTAAACAATAGATCAAATTTTTATTCTGAGATTAACAGTTGTTTACATTATTTCCATAATCCCATATCTAATCATCAAAGCCCCATATCAACTATTAATTTCAGTTTCGCACAAAAAGTCCAGAAATGGTTCATATCGCTTTAATCACTGTTTGGTGAGGAAACCACAACTGATTTATTTAATTGCACCAAACTCTAAATAAAACAGGAATGGAATCTAGACTCATGCTTCTCAACTTTGGCAACTTTAAGATGCATGGACTTCAATTCCCAGAATTCCCCAGGCAGCCTGAAGTTCACCCATCTTAAACTTACCAAGATTGAGAAACAGATAAGGATTACCCATTCCTCTTTTATTGGTTCTTACTTGAAGTTTGTGACTTTTCTCTTTTGGGGAGGTGAGTTTTGAATTCTCTTCCTCCTAAAAAAGAAAACTGAAAAATACTTTCCCTCAGATCTGGAGAGGGAGGCTGGCCCATTTCCTAACTTTTATATTATCAGGATAATATACAGTTAGTAATACAATTAATAAACAACCTTGCTCAAGCTTCATAAACCTAGAAAGAAACTCACGTGTCAGACAATATTAGCATAAATTACTGTAATTAAGAATAATAAATCCCTGGGTTTAGTTGGCAGAAACCCTCTAGACACTGTCTGAATAAAGAACTCCAGTATATAACAAAAGTGAGATCATGATTTTGATCAAAGACAGTGCTGCCAGATCTCATCTTCAAGGTGCTTTGGATTGTTATTTAATGAAGCTTCCAGAAGGATTAGCTACAAACACAGGTGAGCAATTTTTCTCAATGACACATAGGCCTTCTCTTGTTCTTTATGGACTTGTGGTTCATCTGCCTCTTGAAAGCTTGGAGGACATTCAGACAACCACCCAAAACCATCAACCTGTCCGGGAATTTGGATTACACTCCTGTCTGCTTCACTTTCCACCCAATTACTGGATGTCAACATCAACTAGTCTAGATTAGTTTAACAGGATACAGTAATGTTTGCAGACAGCTCTTACTAGTAGACTTTGGTGATTTACTTCCAGAAATCATTATAAGCTTGTCATTCTTAATTATCCCGATAGCACTCAATATTTCTTGGCCACCGGTAAGTCAATAAAGCATAGCCAAAATAAAATAAAAAAATCCATCAACACATTCTCAAGGATAGTCTTTGACTCTACTGAAATTAGGGCGAGAGAGAGAGACAGAGACAGAGAGAGAGAGGGAGACATGTCAAAGTCTTAATGTATCAATACGGCAGATTGAAGAGGGAAAAGCTAGAAAACCCATCTTCCTTCCTTAGTCCACTTTTCCTGTTGTACACATCTTCTATACATATCTAGGAAAAATATATGTTTTTATATAAATTGAAAACATGACAGCCAGCTGGATGGGTCAATGGGCCAGTCCATAGTAAATATGGAATAAAATATGGAAAATAACAGAATAAATAAATTTGGTGGTGTTTGTAGCACACGATTAAAACCTGATCCTTTTGATGTGAGTGCAACATCAACACTTGCCTCCAGAAGTTGTGGGTACTCCAATACTGGAGATTTGTTTAAGAAGAGATAGGACAACCATTTGTCTGAATTGAATACAAGCTAAGTGGACATAACCTTCCAGATGACCCTCACTCTGTCAAGGACCTTGGAGTACTCATATCAAATGATCTAAGTGCCAAAGCCCACTGTAACAACATCGCCAAAAAGACATTAAGGGTTGTAAACCTAATCTTGCGTAGCTTCTTCTCCGGTAATATTGCACTACTAACTAGAGCATACAAAACATTTGCTAGACCAATTCTTGAATACAGCTGATCTGTCTGGAACCTGCACTGCATATCGGACATTAATACACTTGAGCACATCCAGAAATATTTCACAAGAAGAGTCCTCCACTCCTCTGCTCACAACAGAATCCCTTATGCCACCAGACTTGAAATTCTGGGTTTAGAAAATTTAGAACTACGCCGCCTTCGGTATGACCTAAGCATAGCTCATAAAATCATCTGCTACAATGTCCTACCTGTCAATGACTACTTCAGCTTCAACCACAACAATACATGAGCACACAATAGATACAAAATGTGAACCGCTCCAAACTCAATTGCAGAAAATATGACTTCAGTAACAGAGTTGTTAATGCCTGGAATGCACTACCAGACTCTGTGGTCTTATCCCAAAACCCCCCAAACTTTAACCTAAGACTGTCTACTGTTGACCTCACCCCATTCCTAAGAGGTCTGTAAGGGGCGTGCATAAGAGCACCAGCGTGCCTACCGTCCCTGTCCTAATGTTTCCTTTAATTGTATTCATTTTATGTATTCAATTCATGCTTATATATATTATCTAATATGTACTCGACAAAATAAATAAAATAAAATACTATATAGTATGGCCATGTGAATTGGTAGGAATGAAGTAGGAACTAATCAAGGAGAGAAGCAACCTAGAACCAAGGAGAAATTTCCTGACAGAACAATTAACCAATGAAACAACTTGCCTTCAGAAGTTGTGAATGCTCCAACACTGGAAGTTTTTAAAAAGAGATTGGATAACCATTTCTCTGAAATGCTATAGGGTTTTCCTGCCTGAGTAGGGGGTTGGACTAGAAGACCTCCAAGGCCCCTTCCAACTCTGTTATTCTGTTATACTCAAGCAAAAGACATAGGACTGCAATCCATCCTGCCACAATCACCATCTTGATTTGTTTTCCACTTCACACACATACACACATTTCCAGCAATGCTGAATGGCAAACTAATTATGAAACTTCAATCATGAAGCTAGGATTTGACTGTACTATTCCAATGCAATGAAGGTTTTTAAGCAATGATAGATATCAATACAGGGTAGTCTTCAATTTACAATCATTCATTTAATGACCATTCAAAGTCGCAACAACACTGAAAAAAGTGACTTTTTCTCACACTTACGACCGTTACACCATCTCCATGGTCACATGATCAAAACTCAGATGCTTGACAGTTGGTTCCTATTTATGATGGTCACCGTGTCCCAGGGTCATGTGATCATTTTTAGTGATCTTCTGACAATTAAAGTCAATGGAGAAACCAGATTCACTTACCAACTGTGTTACTAACTTAACAACTGCAGTGATTCACTGAACAACTGTGGTAAGAAAGATAGTAAAATGGGGAAAAACTCAGTTAACAACTATCTCGCTTACCAACAGCTCAGCTGTGGTTGTAACTCAAGGACTACCTGTATACAGATATACTGAGCTGTATTGTCTTTAGTTGATTGGACATGTTCAGTGCAGTTCACTGAGGATTAGTACAGAATCCACCCAAGTCTAGGGAGGGAAACTCAGAACTTTACTTTATAAAGCAAACTCATCATTGTGCCAAAAGGTTGGGTGGAATAAATACAAGAACAGGCCTTTTGACATTTGTCTCAATAGCAGGGTAGAGCAATACAGAAGCCAGAATACCAAGAGGCTTCAATAATGATCTGGAAGGGAAAATACTTGTTTTGTTGGTCATGGATTTCCTTTTTGACTGTCACTGGATGTCTTTTTCTAGGGTTTTGGTGGAGAAAGATGGAAAAAAATGCAAGGATGAAATATGACTGCTGTTGTTTGCCAGGCACCGCCCTTCTGTTCATGGTGGAAAAGAAAAACCAGCAGCTTTTATAAAGCAACAAAGAATATCCAAGTAAGAGAGAATCCATTCACCAATTTGCAATAGCTGACTTCCTATCCAATCCTTTAGTCAATTACCAAATGTGGGCTTTGTTTTGTGACATCCAGAATCCATCCAGAATTAGACAGTATGTAGTAGCTGCATATCATCATGAAGATATCGTTGAGCTGCCCAGAAAGCCAACACAGTTCTAGGTTGCATAAACAGAGGGATAGAATCAAGATCACGTGAAGTGTTATTGCCGCTTTATAAGGCCACACTTGGAATACTGCATCCAGTTTTGGTCGCCACGGTGTAAAAAAGATGTGGAGACTCTAGAAAGAGTGCAGAGAAGAGCAACAAAGATGATTAGGGGACTGGAGGCTAAAACATATGAAGAACGGTTGCAGGAACTGGGCATGGCTAGTCTAGTGAAGAGAAGGACTAGGGGAGATATGATAGCAGTCTTCCAATATCTCAGGGGCTGCCACAAAGAAGAGGGAGTCAAGCAATTTAACCTAGCCCAAATATTTTTTCAAACGTTGTGCCTGCAAAAATCGACAAACTTTTCAAACAGGGCCTGAAATCAGTAGCTGAACTCTCATAAGAGTTACGTAATTCCACCCAGATGTTGTTACATCTTACTACAAAAAAGTAAAATTTCAAAAGATCCGGCACCAAATGTTTACTGTTTCATTTTTTGTTTTCGATCAAACAATAGTCAAACCTTTTAAGTATTCTTGAAGCACCATTAAGGCGTGTTTTGAGTTCTGCATTATTGATCCAACTACTCCTGGAATCAGTGAGAGGTATTATATATCCAACGTTACTTCCTCCTTAGCTTTGTTTGTGCATTCTTTTTAAAATTAAGCAGATTGCTTATTCTATTTGTCCTTGAAAGAGCCTGCTTGCCCTTATCTCAGCAAAGTTCTGCATAGGTGGGTATAATCCAGGGGTGGGTTCTACTTACCTTTACTACCGGTTCACAACGGGGCTGTGCATGCGCGCTTGCTTTACTCGTGCGCATGTGCGCTCTTCTGTGCAAGCGCAGAAGCTTCTGCACATGCACAGAAGCGTTTTGATGACGTCAGGGTCAGTGGGCGGAGCCTCCCGCCGGTTTTACTACCGGTTCTATAGAACCGGTGCGAACCGGGGGCAACCCACCACTGGTATAATCCCAAAATGTATGGAAAAGTAAAGAGGTCATACTTATAGGAGAAGGAATGGCAGAACCTGGGGGTGGAGTGAAAAGAGGAATCACCCTGGAATACCGAGGTAGACATAAATGAACTAAGTCCAACCCCCACCCTTGAGTGCCATTGACCCTTATCTAACTCTAACCAGGTACTGACTGTTAGTTGAGAAGATTCCTGTACGTAGGTTTGGAGCAATAAATCAGCTTAATTGAGCCTTCAAGTTTGGATCTGAAATTTTGCACCTGATAGTACAAACCCATTACTATTTTGGAAATTCAATGACAAAGGTCAAAACCCATTCCTATCAACCAGCTCAGCAACAAAGTTGAGTGTTCTGAATTCCACTTCAGAAGACTGACTGACTCAAGAAGCTTATATACGCCTCCTTTAGTGACTGCCTCAGACAATGGCCATTCATACGTTAAGACAGTGATTTAAAAGGTGTGACCAATCTTCACATTTATGACCTTCACATGTCTGTTCAGCAAAGTAAGATCGTACAGTCACATTTTCACTTAGCGGCCACTTGCTGAACAACTGAGGTGCTGGTCCCAACTATGGTCACTAAAGGAGAACTACTTGTATCAAGATTGCTGTCCTTTAGGTAGGACATTTCAGGTGGAAAAAATGAACTGTACCCGGAAACCCAATGGAGGCCAACCAAAATGATAAAGCACAAAAATTAAATTGTCCGTATGATACGGGTTCTACTAAGGGCCCTCTCCAGTGGTGGGTTGCCCCTGTTTCGGATCGGTTCGCAAGAATCAGTAGTAAAACCGGCGAGAGACTCCACCCACTGACTCAGACATCATCATAGGTGATCTGCGTATGCGCAGAAGAGCGCGTGTGGGCGCGAGTGAAGCAAGTGTGCGGGCGCAGGCACAATGCAAACCAGTAGTAAAGGTAAGTAGAACCCACCCCTGGCCCTCTCGGCTGACTTTTGGACAGATTGGAAGCTTCTTAGAACTTTTCCAAATGTAATTCCACATGGAATGATTCTGCTGCAATCACAGCTGGAAACCAAATGCAACTAGATCAAAATTCAATAGAGAATGATATGGCTCAGGGGGGTAAGCAACCATGGCCACTTTACGACCTGTGGACTTCAACTCCCAGAATTCCATGCTGATTTAGGAATTCTGGGAGTTGAAGTCCACAGGTCATAAGGTGGCCAAGTTGCCCACCCCATGTAGGTGGTACATCACACATTCCTTCATGAGAAGAAATACTAGATCCATACACCGTACTCAGCTTTGTCTAAATCTGTGAGGAACTCGGTAATAACTATAAAGCATCAGCCATCCTTGATGTGCCTTCCCTGACCCACATTTTCTTTTTCCTGCTATACATGCAAACTGGAACGAAGTAAAGCTTTCAGGAACAGGGCAAAGATGTACTTCTAAATCAATCAAGCTTTTGGTAGAAGCATTGCAATTATACACAATCATAGTCTAGGTTACCAATTCATGTCAGGCCAACGATCACAACACAAAGCCTATGCATGTTGTGGTCTCTCGTTTAACCTCCCTAGAATTACATTTATAGACTGAGGGAGAAACCAATTTCTTCCAGTTAGCCGACTGTCATTAGAGGCTGCATCTTTCCTTGGTAGAATATAGACTTCAGCAGGAAGAGAAAGAGACGTCTGTTGGGCACTTCTTCCCCCTCCCTTCTTTTGTTACAAATCTACGTTTATAGATTATTTGAAATGCACAAACTATAGCTAGGGATCTAACCTCATTCATATGCCTCAATTTACTGGCTGAATTACAGTTCAAAACAGGAAGGAAGCGATGTTAATTACATTCCCCCAAAGAAACATATGTCTTGTTACTATGCTTTCTTAAATATGAGAAAGAAGTCAAAATGCATTCTAACTTCTGCCCCAACTGGCTTCTTGAATTTAGGGATACATTTTCCTCTCTTTCTTTCTCTGTCAATTTATTTGAAACCATTATGATCTTATAGTTCATTATCAGGCATGGCTTGACTGTTCTTGAAAGACTGTGTTAATAGAATAACAGAGTTGGCAGGGACCTTGGAGGTCTTCTAGTCCAACCCCCTGCTCAAGCAGAAAACCCTATACCAGGGGTCTCCAACCTTGGCAACTTTTAAGACTTGTGGACTTCAACTCTCAGAATTCCAGCAAAGCTGGCTGAGGAATTCTGGGAGTTGAAGTCCACAAGTCTTAAAGTCTTAAAGTTGTCAATGTTGGAGACCTCTGCCCTATACCATGTCAGACAAATGGTTGTCCAATCTCTTCTTAAAAACCTCCAGGGCTGGAATACCACAACTTCTGGAGGCAAGTCATTCCACTGGTTGATTGTTCTCACTGTCGGGAAATTTCTCCTTAGTTCTAGTTTGTTTCCCTCCTTGATTAGTTTCCATCCATTGCTTCTTGTCCTGCCTTCAGATACTTTGGAGACTAGGTTGATCTCCTCTTCTTTGCCTTAGTTCCTTAAATATTGGAACATTGCTATCATGTCTCCTCTAGTCCTTCTTTTCATTAAACCAACTTATCCAATTCCTGCAACCGTTCTTTATATGTTTTAGCTCCAGTCCCCTAATCATCGTTGCTGCTCTTCTCTGCACAGTTTTCTACAATTTCGACATCTTTTTTATGTCGTGCCAACCAGAACTGAATGCAGTTCAGTTCCAAGTATGGACATACCAAAGCATTATAAACCTTATGAAACATTATGTACCTTATGATTCTTGACGAATGTATCTTTTCTTTTATGTACACCGAGAGCATATGCACCAAAGACAAATTCCTTGTGTGTCCAATCACACTTGGCCAATAAAGAATTCTATTCTATTCTATTCTAGTCTAGTCTAGTCTAGTCTAGTCGTGCTAACACTTCATGTGATCTTAGTTCTGTCCTTCTGTTACTGCAGCCTAGGATTGTGTTGGCTTTTTTGGCAGCTGCAGCACAATGCTGGCTCACATTTAAGTGACTGTACACTAGTTTCTTCTTAAGATCAAGTTTTCCTCATCCTTCCTAAATCTTCCCTTTCTATCTTTCTGAGTCTTGACTTGCCTTTTCAACTCATCCTCTCCATTATTATTATTATTATTATTATTATTATTATTATTATTATTATTATTTGATGATGATGATGATGATGATGATGATGATGTACACAACAATGTGAAATAGCAGCTGCCAGTTCTTTAGATGCTGTTGGCTGAGAAGTGTGGTCCAAGATGTTTAGCATGGCATCCAGTGTGCCAATAACCACTGGAGCCACCATGCTAGTTCATGTCACCATCTTTTAACTTTGGTTTTCAGATCTTAATACTTAATCACACTAAATATTCTCCAGTTCTTTCTCTTGTATTCTATTACGTATTCCCTGGTATTGCCACATTAATTATCCACACTTTCTTCTGTTCAACCACAGTTAAATCTGATAAGGGATAAGCTAAGACTATCAGTTTGTATTCAGGCTTCTCACAACCTTTTAAGCTGCTCATTTTTTATTACCTTTAAAAATTATTATTACTTTTTGTTTGTTTGTCGCACAGCCAGCCAGATGTTCAGACTGAATTTGGCATTTTTGTCCTTCTTCCCTTCCCTTCCCTTCCCTTCCCTTCCCTTCCCTTCCCTTCCCAAGGATCTGGGATAGGCAGATGCTGATGTTTGATAATGTTAGAAATATCATCGCAGGATGTAAGCTGTTCCAAATAAAGCTGCCTTTTGCAATTGACTGATGTAAAATTTGTCAATGCCAATGGTGTTCTAGTGGTGCTCCAATTGTTTTAGGATTGCACCCAAAGCATCTATTACTATTGGTACTGCCTTTGCTTTCTTTTGCCACAGTTATTCTATTTCT